CCCCAAAACCCCAAAACCCCAAAACCCCATAAATCTAAGTTACAGATAAAAATAAGATTTAACAAATTAATATCGAAATCATAATTTTCTCACAATAGCATAATTCCAATAATAACTTGAGGTTACATCTTCAATAAAGTATTCATTGAAAAACTCAACCAATTTAGGAATACTTTCTTTGTAAAGGTAGGTCGATCCTTCATAGTCAGGATGTCCAAGTCTGCCATCAGATCCACAACCAAAAGTATATAACTTACCATCTTCAGTCAATAAGCCTGAGTGTATACCAGCGCATAATACTTTCTTTGCTTTACCAATGGTTGAGAGATCAAGCTCAAATGGATTTTCTACATCTTCATTATCTTCCTTCTCATGAGTCCACCCAGCTTACAAGTTACCTAACTTGCCCTTGTAAGGATCACCCCAGAAGAAAGCTCTTCCATCTACACTAACACAGCCTGTATGACCATGCCTTTCCCCCATAGTGCAGGAAACTTAGCTAATTTTCACATCTTTTTCTTTCAGATATTTGACCAATGTAGGCTAATCAACAAACTCAGCTTTTGATCTTACACCAAGCTTTGAGTTCTAGTTATTACCCCACATGTAGAGATCATTAATTTAATCAATGCAACCTACATGGTTATATCCGCATTAGATTTAATGAACACCATTTGAAAAGAACTTTACAAGCGAAGGTATTTTGATATCTTTGTTGAGAGTATTCAGACTCTTTTTACCTGAAGTCAAAAGTTAGTTTTCTATTGTAATGTAAAATGACACACTAAAGCCTGCTTCAACACTTCTTAATGGTAGCTTACAATCTATGAAATCAAACGAAGCATCACTTCCTTCTCTTCCTAGCTCTCCTGATTTGTTTTGACCAGCACTTAGACAAAGACCATCATGGGTCAAGAGCAAACTATGATACTGTCCACATGATACCTATATTATCTTTTAAGTAAGTTTTATTTCAACTGGAGAAGCTGAATTATCACCTCCTGAGAAGTTTCCTAGTCGATTTTTTTAATTATTTCCCCAACCAAATATTTTCCCGCTCTTCGTTACGCAGATTGAACTATTTGAAAAGGTAGAAACATCTGCTGGATTTTATAACTTAACTTTTTTAGGCAGCATTTCACATCTTGCTTTAGTTTAACCAATACCCAACTATCCACCTTTATTTAAGCCCCAGCTATATAGTTCTAACTAATTTGAAGATTGACTTGATGATTCCATAAATTGAATATTAGGATATTAAGATATAATTTCATTAAAAATATTCTATTAAAATTAATCATAGAGTGATCTGGGGTTTTGGGGTTTTGGGG